TTCCAAATTAAATTTAGGTTCACATTGCGCTCCAGCCCATGAATATTTGATGATGATGCTGTAAATAGTTCTGATACATGACAGGCCTCAAAAACACTGAGCTGAACAAGGAATGAGCTAGTGTTTGAACTTTACTGACCTCATATCCTTTATCCTTAAACTTTACAAAAATGAGATCCAGAATGAACTCTTCAAAATAAAAGGTGCGAGGATGAGCCCTCACTTGTCTCCCTGTGGCTGTGCCTTGTCTTACCTGGCTTGAAGGTTCACTGCTGAAAGAATCCATCTTGCATTCCAACAGCTGACTGTGACACCTGGCGGGCAGAGTGGCGGCGCCTCCGCCGCGCAGACGCTGGGGAGCAGCTCTCACCTGAGGAGAGGCGTCCGGGCTCTCCCCCGGCGGTGTGCCCGCAGAGTGGACGCAACCCGGGTCGTCTCCGGGAGGAGGACTGACCCCTGCGTCGGCGGGAACGGAGGAGCCGTTGCAGCCGTGGTAAGAGCTCTTGAGTTCGGAGTCGCCACCGCCCCGGTCGTCCCGGTTGGAGGACGACCGCGATATGACGCCGAACTTGCGCGTGCGTTTGCCGCTCGACGAGCAGTCGGAGGCGGCTCTGCACTGCGGCGGGACTTCGCAGCGGTCGCCGATGACAGCGGTGCCGACGCTGCCGTTGGCGTTGGAGGGAGGGGGGGGAGCCTTCCGCTTGACTCGCCGCAGCATGATCATGTAGATACAGCCTCCATTCCAGCACTGGTCAGCCAGGTAACTGTAAAAAAAAAAAAAAAGCATTGATGGATAATGCTGTCATTACATCCAATAACATGGAGAAAACAACAACTTGAAGTGTCCTCACATTTCCACCTCTGGAGGTGGTCTCTTCATGCATCCCGGGCAGGTTTTGTATTAAAACTACGACGAGGAACTTTTATTTTCTGTTGATTTTGCCGGCCTGTGGACAAAATTGGTTGTGTTTTCGAGCACCTGGGTCTGTCCGTGGTGGGCTGGTCACTGCTGGGGTCTATCCTGGAGGAGTTTCTGGTAAACCTACATGTTTTCGCCTGATTGGACCTTGTGCTACCGATGACCGATGAACATTTTCTTGCTGATGGTCTTATGTAGGTCATATAAAGGCATTAGTATTAAATTGAGACGGTTCCTCACAGTAACTTTTCAGCTCAACCCTGCATGCGTTGGATCGGAGAACGCTGCAACTTGAGCAATGACGACGAGGTCTCTGGCTCGCACAAGGGGAGAGGTTTGCCTTCAGGGCTTTCTGCCGGGAAAAAATAAGTTTAGGCAACAAACCTACTTGTTTAGGTCTAGGAAAAGATCATGGTTTGGGGTTGAAATAAACCCTTTCTGGCAGAAAGCCCTGAAGGCAAACTTCTCCCACGTCTCTTATGACATGAGAACCGGGGTGGACTCGGTCTTTGTTCTCGGCTGAGACACTGAAACTTAGTTATAGTCAGCTATAGTTTCTTCATAAAAACACACAATTCAAATGATAAGGAAATAAAAGTTTGTATTTTTATGGATTAAAACAAATCTTTTCATTAGTAGTTTTAATGATGTATGATAATCTGCTTAGAGTTAGTGTAAACGGGTTATACTTCATCTCTAATATCTATATATTTGTTGTTGTGAAAACATCTCCTTCAAACAACTGGATTCATAAGTTTCTCACCAACACTACATTTTATAAGATTACATTACTTGCCCAATTCTCATTTTCACTGAACAGAGACTGAACACATCCTAATGTAACTGAACGCAACTTTCCTCGTGTCAATTTCAACAGCGATTGGTTGTTTACAATGTAACATTATCAGATCGGCGACTAGAAAAAAATAAATGATGTCCTGATATCATATCTTACTGAATATTGACGGATAACGATCGTCAGTAAAACTTTATTTCACACTGTGATGGTTAACGTTGAACTGTGTAATTAATCGGCGGTACACATTTGTGCCGAACCGTGAGGGGTGATCAGTACAGACCACAAATCGACAACGATCCGTTACACCACTATACAGTATTTTTTATTTGTTATTGAATGAGAAGCATTTTCCAAAAGGTTTGGTGTGTTTGATGCATGTTTGTTATCCTGAGGGGTTAAAAAAAACTGTCAAATCTTTGGGTCCAACCCTATTAGTCACACATTACAGTCAGATTTGCTTTCCAGTTACATTCTCTCTTTGAAGAGACACGCTCTTGACCAGTTGGAGACAAGTTTGTACCAAAGCACAGACAAAGCGAGCAGCTGCTGCTTGTCTTCATCACTATCAGACTGTGTGTTGCATTTCTTATGAGCGCAGAGAGATGACGAAGAGCGGCACCATCACTAACGAGGACAAACTAAACGCAGCGAGGTCATAGTTTTGTCTGAACCATCTGGTTCCCACGAAACGTAACACAGAGGAGGAAACCAGAAAGAAAGAAACTAATCTGTGTTGAAATTATATTTCTAAACGACACTCATATGAGGGTTAAAATAATCTACCACAGAAGCCATGAACCTCAATGAGACCACCTCAGTACCCGACCTGCTCTGGTCTGAGGGGCTGTCCTGTGGTTAGAATTATACGTCCTCACCGAGCTGGTCCAAAACAGTCCTGTGGGAAAGGTATCTGACCCGACATGGATACATTCGTTTTCAATAAGAAGTGACGTGAACAAATAGACCTGATTTAGTCTGCCGTAGACAGACCTATGTCCACAGCGCTGTGTCAGTGCTGAAGAGAGGTCTGGCACCACACATCACATACTATCTACAATATGCGTTTGAAGGCTATATCAGGATGTCGAACTGATTCAGCAGAGAAAACGAGTTCAAAAGATAAAGATAGAAGCTAAAGCTACAGATCACAGTGTAAAAGTGAACCACCACATCGACAGTGAAATTAAGGAACAACACTGTTCCAGTAAAGACGGGTAGGTCTTTATTCACCGTTTCAACCCTTAAAAAGCACAAGCAGCATGTGTATACAGTCAGTATACCTTCAGTAGCTAGCATAGCATAAGATGCTAGTTTATGATGTGCTAACGTATTCTGCTAGTTAGCTCTACAGGTCCAAGCTCTCGTTTAACCATGACTAGCTTCAAATCCACAGCCTAAAAATGAAGAACATATGGAACAATTGTATTCATGTATGGAGCAGAGCCGGATAGCTGTCAGACCCTGGTCCGAGCTGGACGATGCCGCGCTATGATTGGCCAGTCTGCGTTCGAGGGGCGGGACTTAGCACAGGGTCAATTACGGCTTCCTGTGAGTTTGGTTATGCAGACTACCAAGTCCTACTGCAGTTTCAGAGCATGACTCGGCGTTGATGTGATCATATATGATGTGATTTGTCATGCAGTAGATATTGTACTATTTAACATCGAATACATTCCAGGTATTTGTCCATTGTCCTGTAAAAAAGCTAATTGTGCACATCAATGAGGCAGTACATACTGTGGTTGATCATTGCAATATCTTTTCCCTTCATGTGATTGGTTCATGGTTTCAGTTTTTATTGAGGCAGTCTTACCTGGCTCCACTGACATCTACTCCCACCATCAGCTGCCCGTTGAGTGACAGCAGTTCATCTCTCAGTTTGATCCCCCCGCAGCAGGCCGCCGGGCTCCTCTTCCTCACCTCCGTCACCCATATGCAGCCCACGTCGATAATGGGGCCCTGGTCCCTCCTCCTCCTAGGGCCTCCCTTCTTTCTCCCGTCAGGGTCCCCGAAAATGGGGATGTTCCCGAAGCTGAGGCCGAACTCGGCGGCATCGCCCTCGTCTTTGCTGAGCGACACGCCATGGACCTCGACGTCCAGCCCCTCCCTGCAGGAGGACGGGCTGCCCAGCAGAGCTGTGTCACTCTCCATGAAGTTGAACTTGATGTACTCCATCAGCTTCTGAATGGCAGCCAGACACAGGGACATGTCCTCCACATTGACACTGTTGATGCTGCTGCTGCTGCACACGCTGTCCCCTTCCCCATTCTGGTAGGTGTCCTGAACCACCTGCTGGACGAAGATAAAGAAGAAGAAGAGTAATCCATTAGTAAATGGAGAATGGATTTTCAACTTTTAACAACTTAACTTATCGAGTTTCCTCAATAAAATGCTATGAGTTTTCTGAATTTTCCTTCTGTAAACAGATATGTGTATGTCTTGGGCTTTTATTGTGAAAAGGTAAATGCGTTGATCTGACACTTAAAGTTGTTGTTGTTCAATAAAGTTGCCCATTTTGGTTCGGACCAGGTGGCAACCTCCTGTTCTGAAAAGTGAAACCAATGCAGAAGTGTCTTAAACCTTGCATTCTCTCTACTGGCCAGCGGCTCCTCTGTTTGCAAAATGAAGTCCGATTATTGAAAATGACTCCACTTCTCTCTGGATTTATTACCTCAGTAAACATTGTAAACATGAGTTTATGGTCTCAATCTCTAGTTTCAAGTCTTCTTCAATACAGCATGATGTTCATTTTGCAAAATAAGGTCCCATTTAGACCTGTGATTGACCAGAGCCGTATACGGCATCTCTACGTCACTCCTCCACTGTCCAAATATGGTAACTTCTGAGCACCGGTTGCAAAACGTCAAGGTGGTAACGCCCAAGTCGCCGAACGTCAGTCCACAAACCAATGGGTGATGTCACGATGACTACGTCCACTTCTTATATACAGTCTTTGGTTCAGACAACGGAGGCGTACATTTTTGTGTCCATTTTGAATTTGTCCGTTCCAAATAACGTGATTGGTCGATGCCTGAATTTGCGGTGCGAGAGTCGGAAGAATCTTCTTTTTTTGTTGTTTTTATTGTTTATAAAAAAATGAATTACTCACTTTTTTTTTTTGTGAAAGTACTCATGACAAAATTGCAAATGAATCGCGCATAGAAGAAAAAAAACACCCCCGGATGTTTAAAGGCCTTTTGGACATTTCCAGGTTGACAATCAGTGAAAGTTTTCTCTTTCACACACAACAAACTCTGACAAGACGTTAGGAAAAAAAAAAAA